AGATTAATGAGGTATGACTTTCCAGTACCACCTCCACCATCTACATGGAGCAACAGCTGAGAGGGTTCCCGGGTCGCCCAACACGGCTAGTCACGAATCTAATAATGCTGTCTTTCACCCCGGCTCTGAAGAGGCCGGTCTTCACACTCTAGCATTACAGGTCCTTTGTGACCTTCATTGCCACGCGGCGCTTCCAGCGATACTATTCAACTATGATCGGAGGTACTGTGAAAAAATCGTATTTTTCGTTGAAAAGAAGCTGCGGCTTGCAGAGGTTGCTTGGAAGGCATCAAACTCGGAATGGAGGAAGAAGCTTGCTGAATTTGAAAAATGGAAGAGAACAAGCTCCAAGGCCATCTCCAAAAGAAAAGAAAGGACATGGTCACATGAGGCTGGGCTTTGCAAGAGTAACAGCATCAAAGAAGCTGCAAATGCGGACATTAGTGTCTGGGAAAGCTTCGACCCTGAGGCGGCTTTGGAAATGTTCTCATTTGCGGACCGAACAAAGTTACTCGATTCAGAGTTCGAGGCTATAGTTGCATCTCTCAAAAATGCCAACTTGAAACCGGGAATTGTTGATGCTTTACGGCGGGGAATGGGAGTACATCATGCAGGAATGAATCGCGAGTATCGCCAAGTGTGAGTCAATATCCTCTCATCATTTTCCTATTTCTCACTTCTCTGACTTTGCTCTTTAGGGTTGAGATCCTTTTTAGGAAAGGCTTTCTGAGGGTTGTCGTTGCGACTGGTACCTTGGCCTTAGGTATTAACATGCCTTGCAAGAGCGTCGTATTCTTCGGCGACTCGGTGTTTCTCACGGCGTTGAATTACAATCAGGCAGCTGGCCGAGCCGGCCGTCGTGGGTTTGACTCTCTCGGAAATGTTGTTTTTGTAGGAATGAACCCGGAGAGAGTCTTTGAGATCATGTCATCCAGACTGCCCGAGCTTCACGGCCAGTTCCCCTTGTCAACGACTCTGGTTCTCCGCCTTTTGGGACTACTACATTCTACAGACAATTCTGAATACGCGGTAAGGGCCATTCGGTCCATACAATCGCAAACCCGCCTGTACCTGGGTGGCCCCTCCAATCAGATGACAATCAAACACCATTTGCGATTCTCAATAGAATATCTTCGGAGACGACATCTTCTGTCTCAATGCGGAGCTCCCCTCAATTTCGCAGGTTTGGTAGGCCACCTTTATTTCACTGAGAACGCCGTATTTGCTTTTCATTCTTTGCTTCAGGGTGGGTATTTCCACGAGCTGTGTGAAGGCATCCACCGGAAACCGCAAGAAGTGCTTCTTCAGCTCATGCTTGTTCTGGCCCATCTGTTTTGTAGAGTACCTCTTCGATCGGTGAGTGACGAAGCGACCAAGAACAGAATTCACCGATCACCGTCAGTAGTTGTGCTGCCGCCATTACCAGAGCGGGCGCAGACAATTCTCTGTGAGCACAACAACGAGACTCTCGATACGTTTCGAAACTACGTTAGCTCGTTTGTCGACCAACACCTCAAAGGGCAACAAGATAATCAGCTCCCATTTACGAAACATAAGGTCCAAGGAAATAATGGAAGAAATGCACTGATAATTATTGATACTCTCCCGCCTACAAAGCTCCGCTCGTCATTCGCTGCGCTTTCCGGGTTCAATGATGAGTTCCAATCAATTCGCGATCTGTGCACAACAGTCCGAGATGGGGTTTTTCTTGAGGAATCCGCTGTTCCGTACATCCCCATTCATCC